AATTTAAAAAAAAAAAAAAAGTGTTCGAAGGTATACAGCCCCCTTTTAAGCCTCTTTATCATATAAAATGGTTTTAAACAGAATATTACCAAGAGAACATACTTACAATATTGGTACAACTCTAATATACGCCCTAATTTCACCAAATGTGGCGATATGTGTTCTGCGCTGGTTTTTGGCACAATTGTGTGTTCTATGGCAACCCTGTTGATGTTGGCAGTGCATGATAGAAGTAGGGATTTGTGATTTTATTTATTTGTGAACCATAGTATAAATTTTCTGGATAGTGTGTCTGGCTGTCATGTAAATACGATAGTGATTACGTGGCGGCATGTTAAAGGCGGTATGAAATTTATATTTCTGCTATTTGAAAATGCATTAATTCATGGGTAAGTGCATTTTATTTTTATCCTGGTTCTTATTTGTAGAATGTTATGTTCATTGGTTCTTTTCTTTAGTATGAATTTCTGTCGTTATTGTTGTTTTTTTTTAAATTGTTTGAAATTTATTTTAGTTTATTTTGTTGTTTAGTGTCTAGACTGTACAATTCGTAGATGTTTTTTAAAGTTGAAACAGAACGCTGTGTACATGGTATTATTTGAAATTTATTGTTGTTATGTTATTTTATTAAAGCGAGGAGTGCGTAGATCGTAGATTCCTTCCTTGCCTAAATTGTGCAATTCGTAGAATTTTTTTTAAGTTTAAACAGGATGCTGTGTACATGGTATTCTTTGAAATTTATTGTTGTTATGTTAATTTATTAAAGCGAGGTGTGCGTAGTTTGTAGATTCGTTCGTTGCCTACATTGTGCAATTCGTAGACGTTTTTTAAGTTAAAACATGTCGCCGTGTACATGGAGTCTTGTCAAATATTTTTGGTTAGAAACTCTACGTTTTTGCTATCTAAATTTTTTGTTTTTGTTTCGGATTTTTAGCTAAATTGTGTGTTCAAAACGTAGCTTTTGCATGTGCGAAAACCACGTTTTTGGAGACATTTTAGGCTAAAAGTTCAAAATGTAGACAAAAAATTTAGATAGTAATATGGCAGCATGAAGTTTCTCGCCAAAAATATTTGGCGACTTGAAGACTCATATCAGAGCAGTTTCACAATATTTAATATAAAATTAGTACTCATTGCATGCGGCAGTAATACCTTAAAAAGAAAAAATTGCTGCCCTCACATACAAAAGGAAAATATAAAACATTATAAAATTTTTATATCTGTACTAATTTTTCTTTTTTCAAGAAAAATAATTATTTTCTAACATTCTTCAGATGTTCAAAAAAGAGAGAATGGCTTTATTTCCTTAAATACTTATAGCTGATATACTTCACACAAACTGCTTAAAATATAACACAGAATTCAATGAAAATAGTGCAACGGATGAAAACAATGCTAAGCCATTTTCAAGTGCTATTATGGTTTCTACACAGAAAAAATTCCAATTAATAAAAAATACTAGAATTTTTTCTTATTAACAAGAGTTTGATTTAATCCAGAAAATAGAAATACTCAAGAACAAATTCATAATGTGTTATTATTTACATCATTACCGACGTAAATACTGGCTTTATTAGAATTACTTTCAAGAGATAATTAGTTACGTATGTTAAAAACTTGGTAGTATTCATAACACAAGCTGCTTAAAACATGATGATAAATTAACAGAGAAAATATAAAAATGAGAAAAGTGAAGAATCACCAACTTGAAAATAACAAGTCAAAGAATTGCACAAACTTGGTATCCATGTACACATCGACACTTAAAAACATCAGACAATTGAACAAACTTCGGCATTGTGCACTCCCTTGACTTCATCCATGTATACATCAATAAAGATCGGGAATAAGTGGACGATGCATTTCACCAAAAAATATTTTTAAAAATAAAACACATTTTGAATACTAGACCTTGTGATAAATGTTTCAAGTAGCAAAGAAAAAAAATTAAGTTTTACTTTGGTGATAAAAGCAGTTGAACCCAGAAGTTTTAGAACAGGTGCAGACAACATGCTATTAAAAGAAACCGAGAGAAATTTTATTTGAAATTAAAATAAGGGATTTATTTGAAATTAAAATAAGGGATTTTCAAGATATTTGAGAAGCCCTTTTTCAACTCTCAACAGTATATTACAGAAGATTCAGGTTTTTATGAAAATTTCAAACACTTAACTTTCAGGAAAACCAATACCTTTTTTAAAGAAATAAGTTATTATTAATTTCTGATTAGATTTCGGCACCAGTGACGATTTCTGGGTTTCATTTCTTATTTATCAAAAAACACAGTTAACTCTTAGAAAGACAACAATGGCAGATAAACTTTTCTTTTGAAGGTGGTTGGTTGCCTTAAATAAAATTATATTTAACTATGCTTTCAGAGCTACTAGTCATTTTAAGGCACCAGGGCTCACTAGTGTCTGAGCAGTCGCTGACCACTGGTACTTCAGTCCGAGGTTTGAATCCTGTGAACATTTTTGCGATTTTTCCCCATGTGTAACATTCATACGAGCCAGTTTAAGTCTTCTACGAAAGTATCCCTCTGCTTAGGCAGATAGCCTTCAATGCTTTGCAATAATAACAAAAACCAAACATTCTAAAAGGTGGTCACCATGAAAGATTTCTCGGTACTTTTCCGTTTCGCCGGCGCAAATCTCGCCAAGCAGACTTTATTGGCGACAACATACAGTATACACATAAAAAATATTAAAAAAAATGTTAGTTCTAAGAATTTTTTTTTTTTTTTTGAAGGCGTAAACATTTTAATATCGCTTAAAATTTTATAAAAAGCCAATAAATAAAGACAATAAATTTGTAAAAAGACATTAATTTAAGAATTTACTACGCTTTCATGGTTCAACATCCTGATTCGCCGGTTTATATCACGTGACCCCAAGCGATCTCATCTCACTTAAACTACTCTACAAAAATCTAATGCTCTCAGTAATTATCTACATTAATTTCAAGTTAAATTCTTAATTTAGAACACAAGTTTAAATGCAAGAAATATTTCAATTCGTACGAATAGCTTACTCAGAAATTATTTTAAAAACTGCAGTGCTTTACTTCGCTATTCATTCTCGTTAGAATTGATGAATTTAAACCTTGACTTTACCTTTTCTATATTTTCGGCTTCGGGTAAGCGCTGTGATTGCATCCTAATTGACTTAATTACCGAAAATGGCCTTAGACATAAAACTGAACTATCTGATAAAAATGCTATGTAATTATATGCCAGTATTGAAAGAAACAATCAATCTGATAAGAAAAAGCTGCGACTTGTTTTGAAAATGAGGCTTAAAAGGTTACCAGCGAGAATATTACGTTTGGCATCGGTTGTACCATTATTGGCGACTTTATCGCTTGCGCCGGCAAAACGGAAAAGTACCGATTTCTCTAAACTTTCTTTCTTGTACGTTTTTAGATTATAATATTACATATTCTGCTTTTGCATCAAATTCAGTTTGTTTTTTACATCATTTTTTGTACAAGGGTTAAAAAATTTAAAGCTTATTTTCTTTACACCATATACAGAACCACTATATATATAATTCACATTGGCAGTAGCTCAATTTAACAAAAAGCAAAAATTACAGAATAATCACATTTAGCAGAAGTGAGGAGGGGAAGCAAAAAACGGGCTATATTTCTGAATTTGCATCTACAGAAAACCTACAACCACTGAGGATACACAGTCACATTTTTTGAAATTTTTCTTATGTTACTTTCAAACTCAACAATCAAAGCGAACAAAAGTATATAACTAACAATAATAGCTGCGCCGCGTTTCACGTAGCTAAACTTTAAATGCGGCTGTCTTAGTCGAGCTAACTTTTCGTCCCATTTCTAACTTAACAGAAATTTCCATCAAAAAACTTTCAAAACAGTGGCATTTCTTCCTAAATATATATTCTTTAAACATTTAATGATAATACAGTAACCATACATTTGAAAATCTATTTACTTGCATCTTCAGACCAACTTAGTTTTATGACATTATTTACTTAAATGTTCAGATAAAGATCATACTTTGAAGATGTATTTACTATTATACTATAACTACAAGTAATTTCTAAAAGGTTTCCAGACAGATATGTTTTAATAATGAGTTCCTTGCAAAAAATTGCTACAGCCAATATTTTAAAATAGCATTCCAAAATAAAATTTCTAGGAAACGCGTTTTTGAAATTCTGTACTTTTTTAATTAGGGGGAACACTGACAATTTTTTTAAATATAAAGATACAGTTGCGACTTTTACGGAATTAACACTTAAACCGCATAAAATGTGACTATTACCACTAACTCCTTCACAAAAATTTATCTTTTTTTTACTCAGAGATCACAATTTAAATGATTTACCAGTTGATGAGAAACTACAGCAGCACAACCTACCAACCGAAAAAAAGAAAAAGTAGTTCCACGGAAAGCTGCACGAATATGAAAAGTATCGGAATGAAGCTTGACTACATTCAATGTTTCAACTGAGTAAGTTACGAAAACGATATAATTTCCTTCGAGTTCGACTTGTCAAATACGAAAGGTGTGTTTTTTTTTAAGAATAGCATCAGCAAAATTTACACCTACTATAAAAAGATAGTCCATTTCAGTATGCTAAATTAACCTCCGTAAACGACAGTACGATAATACGCTGGATCTGGATACCAAATTCCAACTCAGTAGGACATTGCCATGTTTATGAATGTCGCATAAGGAAACTGATGAGCAAAGGTAATATAATAACTGATGTCAGGACATCCCCAAACATAAAAATGGCGTCAACCATTTCAAGCACGTGATGGTATGCATGTCTGAAGTTATTTCATAGGGCAAATAAACATAACTACATGCTCTTATTTGTATGTAGTTAGAGGCCTAAATTTCTTAAATTTTAAAAATTACTACGGGAATTCATCGCTCCACCCACACACTAAAAATTACAGAATTACTAAATGAAATTCAACGAAACAAAACTCGAATGAAAATAATTTCATGAAGTACTCACCGTCATCCAGTAATCGTTCAAGATGCAAAAATACATTAGGAAAAGCTGCGAGCTGTTTTTTATCCTTAAGTAGCTGCGCTAAGTAGTCTGCTGTGTTCTGAGTATTGTTATTAGCAGTTTCTCCCATTTTTTCAAACAAAAATGGTTATCCTAAACAAGAAATTGTTCGTAAATATATCCACAAAAACTTTCAAACTCAACAATCAAAGCGAACAAAAGTATATAACTAACAATAATAGGTGCGCCGCGTTTCACGTAGCTAAACTTTAAATGCGGCTGTCTTAGTCGAGCTAACTTTTCGTCCCGTTTCTAACTTAACAGAAGTAACGCTAATGCGCAGGCGCAGAATGTGGGCAATTCCAAAACGGCGTGGGGTGTATTTTTCGTAGGCATCAAGTTTAGCCTCGAGCACAGAATGAGCGTTGGTCTCGACGCTATCGTACGCGTGGGTTTTTTCAGTTATGTAACTGGATTTTATTGACTTTAGAAGTGAGAAAAATGAATGAATAACAAATGCAGAATAATTCTGAAATATAGAGCGTATAAGTAACAGTTTTTAATTGTGCGAAATGGAGTTTTTTATAACAAATATGGTTAAGAAGTAGAAATGTGAATAGAAACTTGGCAAAGTTTATTTTCATTTCACGAATAATTTTAATTTGTTGTTAAAAGTCGCATTTTTTAGTTTTTCAGCTTTCTTAAGCATTCCTTTGATTGTTTTAAAACATGCTCATTTGTTTGTCTGAGTTGAAAACTATTATTTATTGTCAAAGTCTGGGAAGGATAATAGATAATATTTTTAACTAAAAGCTTTTGTAAAAAACTAATTTAACTGTTTCTAAATTAACGTTCTATTTTTTATAGTTAATGAGGAGTCAAATCTTATTTAAATTACGTTTATTTAAAGCTTTCTTTGAAGTAGAACTTGTCTCGGGTAATAAATGATGCAGTATTATAGTGTAATAAGTAAGTATTTATATCAAAGCGATAGGTATGTTTAAGGGTAAATATTTACTTCAGATCTTTGAACCCGTTGCTCTACTGGATTTGGTTTCTCTCTAGTTTATTGCGCGTTATGCTTTTACATGCAATTGAATATTTCAGATATTCACAAACAGAATGAAAAACTTTATTTATTTGAAGGACACTATCTGATTGTGTCACATTTTTGCTTTAAAATACAAATAATTAAAATAACAGTAAATTTTTATTAATTCTTTTATTAACTTTCTAAGTATTTTAAGAAGCGTACTTTGAAAATAAATAATTAAAATAATAGCATAGTTTTGTTAATTCCTTTATTAACTTGCAAAATATTTTAAGAAGCAAAAATATTTTTAACAAGAGAACAATTGTTTATAAATAAGCTCATGAAGCTTATGGAGTAAAATTGTGCAGTTTTATTAACATTAAAATAGTTCGAAATAAATCACTATTTAAGTAAAAATAAAAAAAAAAAAACTGGCCACAAGATTTGTGGCTTAATTGCCTGATTTTCTGAGATTTACGTATTAAGATTTTATTTTGACTGGCATTCCTTTTTGGAATGTCATTGGGTTTGCTTAGTGCAGCCACTTGCCCTGGAGATGGTTAACTTGTAGAGACATTAGGTATATTTTTGGTAGCAGGAAAGATTTAAAAAAAAAAAAAAAAAAATAGCAACCGCCTTCGCCGGGAAATGTACCACGGACCTCTGGAATAACGGTCCAGCGTGCAGAACCACTACACCACGAAAGCACGCTAGGAAACCGGTAGAAATACCTTATATACTCCCCTTTTTAAAGGGCGACTGGGGTTTTTAGGGGACCCAGTCGCCAAATCTTGGGTGTAGAGAATCCTCATCCAACACCCTTTTAGTTCGGGTGCGACATTAGGTATATTTTTGGCAGTAGGAAAGATGAAAAATAGCAACCGCCTTCGCCGGGAATCGAACCACGAACTTCTGGAATACCGGCCCAGCTTGCAGAACCACTACACTACGAAGGCACGCTAGGAAAGTGGAAAAAATACCTTATAAACTTAGCTGTTAAATATCAATAATTTTAAATTGAGCATATCTTTAGAATTCCCGATACGCAGTCTCACGCGCTGGAGATAAAATTGTTTTTCTGTACAATGTTGCCATTTCTCGCTTTGAAATCGTTTACTTTTAATCAAAAATTCGTTGAAGTGTTACAAAATATGAAATCGATAATGAAACAAATTCAAATTCCACATGCCCATATTCTATGAAAGATTATGTTAGTCAAAATTTGATGGCTCTGTGTACCGTTTTTTTACCACAATGCGAGAAACATATATATATTTATGCAGATTCTTCATTATTTAATTTCCTTAGATATAATACAGAGCGATAATATTTAGTGGCAACGATTTGAAAAGTGATACAGCCTTTTAAAAGTTTCAACGCAAAATCCCAAAACGAAAGCAATATGTTCTTCAGGGCAAATGGCCCCTTTGGACTAAAAAGATACTGATCTATTTCAAAGTGATAAATAAGATTAAAAAAAAACAGTAATTTGAAAAAAAAAAAAAAAAAAGACTTAATGTTTGCGTTTTATTATTTGCATTTCTTTTTGCTGAAAAATAAGTATTTTTGTTCTTATTTCAGGATAATTCCTTTTAGAATTTTTAATTGCTAATTTCTAAAGGTACCACTTTATTGGTATTCCTTTTTGGACATTCTTCACTCTTTACTTTTGGTTTTGACTTTTACCCTTGCCTGCATGAATGACGAAACACGAACTGAATGATTGGAGAGTTAGGTTTGGAGGCAACTTCCCCTTGATAAGTCTGTCTCCTGCCTGCTCATTGCTAAATTGGTGAATTTATTTTCATGGTTTGGTTTTGCTCTTGATTTACTTATGCTATCTGAATTTAAATGATATTGTAGATTAGTTCGTAAATTAAATCTTTTATATTTTTGCACTTTTTAAAATTATTTTAACTTTAAACTTGCTTTTTTACGTATATGCATGTTTGTTAAAATTTAAATTTGTTTACATTTAAATAGGAATACTTAAAGTGCATTTTCCTTTCTGAATGAAGGCTTTATACCCAAAATGAGGAAATTCATTTTACTTTAACTGCGTCTTTTAAATTTCAGACATACCAATAAAGATAACATATAACAAAAAGAACTAAAAACAAATCCGAAAGTTTTAAGATTTTATTTCAGACATATCAATAAAGATAACATATAACAAAAAGAACTGAAAAAATCCGAAAGCTTTAAGATTTTATATTAAGCCCAGAGGGGTTTTTTTTAACGTCTTCGCACTTAAACCCTAAAGTTCAATTTAACAGCGATATCACAAAGTATTTAAAAGAGCATATCTTTAGAATTTCCGATATACAATCTCGCGTACTGGAATTTTTTTTTTTTTTTTTTTTTTTTTTTTTTTTTTTTTTTTTTTTTTTTCCGTACAGTGTTGGGATTGCTCTGTCTGAAATCCTTGAATTTGTTAACTAAAAATTCTTTAATATTTGACAAATTACGAAATATATAATAAAACAAATTCCAAAATTTGGCTTCCAGATGCCCATATTCGAATAGAGAACTACGTTATTCAAAATTTGATGTCTCTACATACCGTTGTTTTTTCACAGTGCAAGAAACATACATACATCATGCAGATTCTTCATTATTTAATATCTTTTAATATAATTCAGGGCTCTAATATTTGGTGGCAACAGTTTGAAAAGTTAACCTACATTTATAGTGAACCGACGCAAAATGCCAAAACGAAATTAATAGCCCTTCTGGGCTACTAAACACCTGCTGTCTATATGTTAAATGCATAGCACTATAAGTCTCTTTTGTTGAATAAACTAATAGTTAACTTATTAGGATTTAATTTACAATGAACAGCTGAAAGAAATTAATAGTCGAATTCAGCGGTAAAAGAGAAGCATAACCAAACTCGGTTAAATGAGGTCACATAGTTGGAAAAAATGATTCAATGAAAGGAACGGCCAATAGAAAGAGCATGATTAAAAAAAAAAAAATCTGTATTATCTCGAAGCAAGTTTTAACAACACAGCTCTTTCGACAGATACCTGTTGAATATGTATAGAAAAAAAAAATCAAATGAAATCGAAAAACTGAAATTTCTTCAAATTTTAAAATAGCTTGTTTCAGGATGAACTGAGAATTTTTAACCAATAATTTTGTAACCATTTAATTTTGACTGTGTACAAATATTTGATGGTAAAATGAGCTAAATCAGAATTCTTTTTTGCCATTTTTATCGATAGAAGTATTTCTATCGATAGGAACCCTCAGTGTAATTATCTTCAGAACAACCAATGCATCGCTACAGTTTTCTGCAAATTTGAAAAGGAATGTCTATCGAAATATCACCGAATTATAATTCCTACACTGAGGTTCCAAGTTCCGCTGGATACGCAATTGTGGGTTTCCACCCAGAAATATTAATTAAAGTTTAACGAAAAATGTCCTGACTAAAGCAATGAATAAAATTCCATGTAAACAAATTTTCATAATTCTTCAGACGAAATATTTTTATATACGCTAAAAAATGAAAAACTGGAAAAGTTACTAAACTTTAAAGATTTTTAATTTAGGGATTAATATATATTTACTAAAAATCATAATATATGCAAAATAAATATCAAAATTAAATGTACTGAAATTTAGACAAAGATATATAATTCAGCTGTGTTTAGGGTTCAAGGATTCCTAATAATTTAAATTTACACTTTGTTATGATAAGGTGAGGAATTTTTATGATATGGTGTCTACATTTGTTAAAATGACTTCTTTTCTTCTATAAAAAAAGAGGATGTTATAACAAACTGTAGCTACGTCGAAAGTGACTTAATTTTATATATTCATTATTTGGAGCCTTTTTCCTTTTTAGCCCAAAGGGGCAATGTGTCCAGAAGGGCTATTAATTTCGTTTCGGCATTTCGCGTCGTCCACTAGAAAATGGTGTTTCACTTTTCAAATTGTTGTCACCAAATATTAGAGCCCTGCATTGTATTTAAAGAAATTAAATAAGGAAGAATCTGCAGCAGTGCGTGTATGTGTCTCGCATTGTGAATAAACAACAGTACCTAGAGACATCAAATTTTGAATAACGTAGTCCTCCACTCGAATAATGGTATCTGGATGCTGAAATTTGGAATTTGAAATTTGTTTTATAATCTATTTCGTCTTTTGTAAAACATTTTTGATTAACAACGATTTTAAAGCGGGAAATGGCAACACTGAACGAAAAGAAAAACATTTTTATCTCCAGCGCACGAGACTGTGTATCGGAAATTCTAAACACATGCTCTATTTAAATAT